ACTGTACACGTATGCCAGGTCCAGGAACCAAGCAAAGTCAGAGTGTAGAATGGCCGAAAAAGTTTCAGAGGCGGATGGCAAGAGAGGTTGAGTCAAACCCAAAGGGTTTTTACCGTTGAAATTAAAGACACGTGTGGGAGTATCACATCTGAGGCTTGAAGGTGGTAGTTATGCAGACTCAGATCAGGTTAAAGCAGAGGTTGTTAAACAAATTCTTTTCCTCAGTGTTCACAAGAGGGGATGCGAACACTCTCCCTGCATTTGAGGAAAGACATGTTGACACAACGCTGACGCACATAATGTTCTGAGAAGAGTGTATTAGAAACATTAACAAATTGTCAAAGCTAAAGCGTGCATCCTAGAGTGCTAAGAGAGTTGTGCAACGAGCTTACCGAGACTTAAAATCCCGTTCTGCAGATGCATGAGCGAGTTAAAGAGACCCGGCGACTGGAAAATGGCTGATGTGAGTCCTATATTCAGACATGGAGATCACCACTCCACATAAATACAGACCAGTGAGCATTGACCAGCATAGTGTGTAAAGTACTAGAGAGCATTATAAGATGTGTATCTATTACGAAACAACTTGTAAAGGACTACCAGCATGGTTTTATGTGGACTTTGCCAAGGCTTTCGACAGTGTACCCCATGCAAGGCTGAGAATTAAACTGGAAGGTTACGGAATTCGGGGGAGTGTCCTAGCGTGGATCAGAGACTTTCTTCGTGATCGCAAGCAGTGTGTGTGGTGATTAATGTCGTGAAATCGCCATGTGTGACAAGCAGGGTACCACAGGGTAGTGTACTGGATCCGTTGCTGTTTGTTTGTTTCATAAACGACGTACCAGAAGCGCTTGACTTGCCTCCAACATCCAGGCACATGGCATCATATCACAGGCAAGATTTTGACGTGAAATATCAACTGAATCGAAGAAAGGCAATAAATGGAGTACATTGTGAATGGAAAAGGGTTCTCATTGGAGTACCACAGGGTTCCATCCTTGGACCCACCTTGTTTGTGATCTACATAAACGCATAGACAGATGAGAGTACATTGTCAAGTTTGCAGACGACACGGAAATATTTGGGAAGGTAGCAGGTCAAGATCCTGTCGCAACAATGCAGAAAGACCTGAATGAACTGTTCAAGTGGTCCCGAGACTGACAAATGCTCTTTAATATTAAGAAATGCAAAACCCTAAATATAGGATAAAGTAACCCTAATCACAACTATTCTAATAATAAAACTTCCTTGGATACCTGGATAGCGTCGATAAGGATAAAGATCTCTAGGAGTTGTGCTAGATCATTCACTGAAGGTGGTGCAACAAGTGAGGGTAGCGGTAACAAAAGTTAAACAAAATTTGCGAATTATGAAGCGTACTTTTAAACAGAAAGATAGGAAAATGACCCTTCAATCGTACACATTTCAAGTACGTCCCAGTCTGGATTATTGTATACAAGCATGGAAACCTTTCCTCCAGAAAGATGTAACATCCCTAGAAAAGGTGCAACACACAGCGATGAAGGTGGTTCCGGAACTGTCATCTCGATTACCCAAGTAAACTGAGAGCCTTGGTACTAACAACCCTTCAGACAAGGCACAATAGGGCAGATGTTATTAAAACATTCAAAATCCCGAAAAGGACGGAAAACGTGAATACGGGACATTTCTTTGATGTCACGCACCACCAGCACGAGAGGACAAAACTCCAAGCTCACCAAGTTATCAAGCAGAACGAATATAAGGATATACTTTTTCATACAGAGGCTGGTAGACCTATGGAACACACAGAGGCTGGTAGACCTATGGAACGGTCCACTAGCCCAAGCTGTGGAACTAAGAACAGAACTGAACTGAACTTCAAAATAGCCCTTGACAAAATGATAAAAAAAAGGGAAGGGGAGATCCCACACTGGCCACTGGCCTCTTTCCCTCGGTATGGCCACCTCTAGTGGATGGCCTAGGTAAATAAGGAACACTGGACATAACAATGTGGTAAACGAGCGGACCAGTAATGCTGAAGAGTATTAGGTAAATGGGACTGTTCCACAGGTTGCAGTTAGAGAAGTGCGGATTATCTTCTGCCTCTGAAGTATGTTTGCATGCTGAGCGCGAGTGACTTGATTGTTTCCTCAAAACAGATTTGATTTTTCCCCTTTAATTTGTTATTTTCTTTGATTTATTTATTTTTTTTTCTTTTATGGGGATTAGCCCACCCGGGGACAGGTCACTGACCCAAATCGGGGTCTGGGGGTCGAAACTATAATAATAATAATAATAACAATAATAATAATAATTAGTTCATCTATATATATATATATATATATATATATATATATATATATATATAAACCAAAGAAGTCTGTCTGTTTGTCTGTGTGTCCGCACGAGAATCTCGGAACTACTTTACCGATCTGGACCAAACTTGGCATGGATAGCAAGTGTCATGTGGGGATCTCCAAAAAACTCCAACCAACCCGATCCGACACACCCAACCCGAAACGCCTGAGAGAAGAGAGAAATAGAGAGAGACTAACGGTCAGCCCGGAGCACACACGTAGAAAAGTCGTATTCCCTCCTATGATTTACAGCAATTTTGATCCTTAGGTTCTCTTTCATTATGGCTTACTTTTCTCTGCATCTAACCTCCATCAGTTACACCACACCGAGGTTGAAAAGTCGAATCCCATCCCACGTATTATAGCTAATTTTATCCTTATGCTCTCTCTCATTACAGCTTACTTTTCTTTGATCTCTAACTTTTCTAGGCTGTCCATTCTAACAAGGTAGGTAGGTAGGTAGGTAGTCCATTCTAACGAGGTATGCCAAACGTACGATATTTCACAGCGCTACAATCAATGTCGTTACGTCCTACCTTAGTAAATCTATTCCTTGTCATGGCCATCTATATAAATAACTGAAAGAGTGTCTCTATATAAATAAAAAAAAAAGAGCGTCGGTGGTACATGCCGAGGGACTGTTCTCGCGTTGTTTCTTAGCTTACTAGCTTGAGCCACTGTTTGTTCCCAGCTTTGCCCCAAAAATGTGGTCTACCCTAATGCACTACAGTGAGACAATGTGGAGCCTCCTGGAGGGTGGCGTCCTACCATGGCCTAGTGAAAGAGCCGTTTCTGCTAGTAGGAAATAAAATTCGAAACAAAAATAAATAAATAAAATAATAACAGTAATAATAACAACACTGATAATAATAATAATAATAATAATAATAATAATAATAATAATAATAATAATAATAAAGAACCATACAGAAAAAAACAAACAAGATTAATAGTGAGAAACAATTGAGACCCTGCAATTGTGTGTAAATGAGGCAGAAAGTCAGATCAGCAACCTGGGACTTGGTCACAATTTTCGTGATGCCATATGGCAGCAGGGTCTACCATTAGACAACACATTATGCTTCCAATATCTTCCCAGGCGGTAGTACCTCCCTGTTTGATAGCTGCCTACTACCTAACATTCGTTTTTATCCCAATAGGTATTTCAGATTTTTTTTTTTACCATTATCACTAAGATTCCCTAGTTACCAAGATACAGAGCACGATGAACATAACATGATAATGATAGTGAAGCCTGGAAGGGTTCATATCATAACTTGTGTGTTCGTACGTATGTTGCCCCGTGAGAGTTACCGTGGGCCTCCATGTGCCCAGGTGGGATGGTCAAAGTATTACACTATAAGTGTGTCAAATGAGGAGTGACTGATCCACATGTAATTTAAGGTTTTTGAAATATGTAGTTAAATTAAACACGATTTTTCATATAGTTACGTGAATGATGGGGTGTGGTGGAAGCATCGTGGTCTGGCACACACACACACACACACTGTACTAACCTCTAGCACCGACCCAGGTAGGCTAGAGATTATGGTTTCCATCTGTACAAAATGGGTAGTACTTTGAAACAGAGGGAAAATGTAGGGTGCAATACTCAAAAGAACACCAAACAAACCTTTGAAAACCTTACCTAACCTACATAAAGGTTAAAAATCGCTTTTGCCAGTTCATGGGTCCCCTCTTCTGAACACCGAATACAACACCAACACATTCAACACCGAAAACAAGAATAAGTAGGTAGGATTTTAATGTGTTAGGTAAGGTTCTTGAATGTTTGTTTGGTGTTCTTTTGAGTATTTTACCCCACATCTTTCCTCTACTTTAAAGCCCTGCCCTCTTCCCTGCCCACTTTGAGCAACTAATATTGTTGGTAATTGAGGAGGTCTTATCGTGTAAAATGCTCTAAAAATATAGATTTAGCAGGGGAAATGCCAGAAAGAAAATAAATCAATTCCTAACTAAAAAAGAATCCTAGTGATAATGGTAAAGAAATCCAAAATACCTATTGGAATAAAAACAATTATTAATCTCTGTTGCTATTGAATAAATATAACACTAACAGTTATTAATATCACCATTACCAGGGGCTAACTATGAGATATGAAGGCTTTTCCATCAACGTGAAAGTAAATTTACAAAATTTTCGTAGACAAGTTCAAAATTTATTGTCTGTACAGAGGAAATACCATCAATTCAGGTGCTTTATTATAAGTTGTATATCTACACATTGAAACATACCAACATTACCAACATGTAGTGGAGAATAATTATATATGTAAGGCATGATCTCCGTGAAATTTAAACTGGATTCGTATACATTGTATTACATTAGATAATTAGAACAACCTCAATACAGAGAGTTTTATCTCATAATTTTTAGTATACAGTATTACTAACCTTTTACACACTTAGAGACCTTCGTTGTTGAAGTATAATAATAACACGGTAACAACAACCATGATAACAACCTCTCTAGCGAAGGTAATTACTTAATGGATAGTAAAATAAAGAAACTTGGTATTACTTAATGGATAGTAAAATAAAGAAACTTGGGCATTATACCAAGTAAAATAGTATAACACATTATTTCACTATGACTGCCAACCACCACCAGTTACCTGTCTTACTAACAATAACACTAAAGGTAAATAAACAAAGGCACGTGCTTTTTGCCTTGCTCTGTGTGAGTGAATAATAAAAAATAAATACATTTTACACATACATAGTACACTTTTTTATACAAGAAATAGTTTACGAGAAATTATAGGTTTAAATCTAAATAGGTAAATGGTAAGTTATCGATCTGTTTTATGCGTCATGTAGGACAGTGGGAAATCGATTATTGGACAAGGTGTTCCCAGGTGAGTACTGAACCATTGTGCTACTGCAGTCTTGCCTCTCAACCCACCATTTCCTATCACTTGATGTCAAAATTGTTCCAAGACTGACTGTGGTAAGCTGTGTTAATTTATTACCGGTACAGTATATCATTACAGTAAGGTTTCGATTCAACAAAATAAGTTTTTATGAATGTTATTATAAGAGGGAAGAGAGAGGTGTGTGTTGGTAGTCAGGGTAATTACTATGAGGGCCACATTATGTCTGGTAGCAGTTGAGGACAAGGGTTCAGGTAAGGTAGGTAACTATAACTATTTAATGAAAATTAGGTTAATATTGATGACTGACTGGCGCATTATTTGAGATAATTTATAGTATCACACCGGTCTTTATTTCAATATTAAAAATAGAATTATTTTCCGGAAATTGCACATTTTATCAGCTCTCAAACCTGGGAAAAAAAAAAGACATCCCTGGAATTTTTCAAGATTCCGGAATTTTCCAGAGTGAAGCATTATTTCATCTCTCAAACCCTGCAAAAGTCCTCCATCCCCTAATTATTTCTGGGTACTGGGAAAATTTTCTTGGAATTTTCCAGAAAATGCGGAAAATTCAAAGCAAATTTCAATCACAGGTTTCAGAAAGTCCCGGCTAAGAAGGATTTCGGCTAATGGAGATATTACTGAATTAGTATCCATCTGGGTTGCTTGATGGCAAACTTGATAATTTATAATTCCTTTGCACATTGACCATCTATAATCATCTTCCCTAACTCCCCCTATAATCTGGTGTCATTGGCGATAACTCTCGTCATGTGAGGCCATAACTCCCGTTACTTCACGTGTACAGTCACTCAGTTTGGTGGTTCCTCTCAAATGTTGATAACTTGACACTGACTGACTATAAGTGGGTAAATACAATATTATTGCATAATATCATGAATACAGTATATTGTATAATATACAGTATAATCATGATGACAGTCATAATTTCTTCTAAAATGATCTTGCATAAAGTAATAAGACCAACATGTATGATATTGCTTTAAAATGAATGTATCATTAAGCACGAAAAATACTTGTTGGTATCGGCAGTACAAATAATTTACATTCATGATACAGTAGAAGTCCAAAAATCCGGACTGCTTGGGGATTGGGTCGGTCCGGATTTTCGGATTTTCGGATTCTCAGGCAGTACTTTTAAAATTAAAATTTAAGGAGGAATAAAGAAGAGATGAACAGGTACATTTTGATAGTTTATTCATTAGCAAATATAGCATGCTTCATTTATCAAAACGAGCAGTTTTAATGAAAAAGCTGTGAATTCTAGAATTTTATTCTTTGCCTTTTTGATATCATAAATTGTAGACTTTCCAATGTTGTATTTTCCATTAGAACAGTATTGCTCACACCACGTACTAGTTTCTTAATTATTTCAAGTTTGTCACTCAATTTCAACGTGTTCTTCTTTCTCTTCACACAACGAAGTTTATCTACTTTAGGAGCCATTATTATGGGCTTGTACAGTAATCTGTAAATGGAAAGAGTAGGACTCAAAATATTGTTCTATTCATACTGTGCTTGATATAATACATTCACGGAAATGTAATATTTTTGCTGAAATTACGTATGTATTAAAGTGGAAAGTGGGATAAAATCGTGACGAAAACAATGACTTTCGCTTTCTTTCGTTCAAAAGATGTTACCGTAATTGCTTTTCGAATGGTTTAGTTAAAAAACTGTTGTATTACAATAATATTCCCTCCTAATTGACTTGAATAAATACTTGAATGAAAATATACAATATTTTTGTTGAAACTACCCGCGTTTCAGTGTAAAGTGTTGTAATAATAAATGGTAAACAATTTGCCTTCGGCACTCGTGTTTCAGTTTATAGGACGTAGAGCGTTTTTACTGAAGGTTTTGTTGTTCGCTTACCCTCAAAAACGTGGGTCGAACTATAAACGAGGAATATCATAAATTAACGATTTCTTGGTCAAAAAATCAGGGTCGACAGATAAACGAGGGGGGGGTTATAGATGAGTATATACGGTATGTTGTCACAGTTTGATTGCTCGTTTTAAAGTGGAGACCACGTGGTCGCTTGTTGTCGCTGTGCAGCTGTGGCGCTCACGCATGCGCACATACACCCAAAAGCCCGCTAAAAAAAAAAAATAATAATAATAATTAGTTTTCCAAAGTCCGGATTCTCGGGTGGTCCGGATTTTTGGCATCCGGATTTTTGGACTTTTACTGTACTGTACAGTATGTCTGAATCCCCAGCAATGTCATATATTTCTCAAAACATTATTTTTCTATATTTTGCACATTGATACTAGTTAAATTATATACCAGAAGTGTATTCTTAGGCATTTCCGATAATGAATCTTAAATAACTAGCCAGTTTAAGCATATATGTCAACTTTACCCCTCTATAGTGTTACCAGATCACTTGCCTCATATCATGCAGGTGGACTAGGACACTCTTCTGCAGTTGACTGTACTGTACCTCTGCATTCAGTACATCATTTACAATTTTCAAATCTGGTTGCCCCTCCTTTGATGCACTCAGCAGTTATATTTAGTATGGTTAGGGTTTCTAGGTACAAAATATAACTAACATTGTCAACTATTAGTTTTCATAATATATTATGGTTTTAATTAGATTTAATCTTTTACAGAGGTTTTCAACTTAGAATCCAGACAATTATGGCAAACAATTACACAGCATTGAGGACAGCAGTATCAAATTCCAGCATACCATCAGATTTTGCTGTAAGTTTACAATTAAAGAAAATATATCACTTCATGCTGGTTTCTTTCCTATTTTGAAGTAGTGCAGTACAGTATTTGCAGTTCCCTATTGATAAGACTGGCATATACATGTATACATAGGTGTTGGAACCGAGAGTATTTGTCTCGGCATCATTTAGAGAACAACAGTTTTCTGTAGTCCCCTCCTCCCTAAATGAACGAAGCAGCATCAGAAATGTGCCCCTGGTGATGAGTGTGAGTTTACGCTTATGATCTGATAAACCCCTTGGTGTGATTAACATTGGTGAGATTTTGATATGATATAATGTTCATATATAATAAAGATAGATTAATCTGGGGGAATAACATGCTTTAGAAAAAAACTGTGATTAGTTATTGAAGGGGTATCAGCTGTGTTTTAATCTGCACCTAAATTTAATGACAACAGTACAGTAATTAGATGCTCAGAATTTTAAAATCTTCTCCTCATAGGCAAATTCTAAGAGTTATAAAGTTTTTCATTACATACCAGAAAAAAATTTTCCTGACAAGCATTTATAAGCCAATTCAGAATTTTCCTAATTTTGTCATAATTCTTTATTCAAGTATTAATTAAACAATATGCAAATTTGACAGTAATGTACAGCTATGTAAGTGTTTGTACAGAGTTATCAGATAATAGTTTTTGTTTTGTGTATTTTTTACTTCACTAATCACTCATACCCCTGAATACAGTACAGTACTGTAATTAGTAGTAGCAACATCTGTAGACTTTGAGATAATCATGAATCAGGTTGTGTGTGTTTATAATACCTTTGTAAATTTGTAACTCGTCAGAATGGAGAGCAAGACAGTGATAGCATGTGGGGCAGTGTATCAGAGTGTCACAGTGATGCTGGCAGTCAAAACATCTCATCAGTAGAGTCAGCTTCTCATAACCTGCTGACAGTTCGACCTAACCCTGGTGAGGTTTTTGTGGTATAAATTCTTGTTAACTTCTACAAGATTACTGATCTGAGGCAGTTTTTGTTATGTAACTTTAAGTATTTTTCATTTCAAATTGGATCAGAAATATAATTTGTAAAGTTACTGTATTTGCCGGCATATAAGACGCACCACCGCATAAGACAAGGATATTTTGTGGAAATTTTTTTTAGTACGTTTCGTCATTCAATTATTGAAAGTGATTTTAAAGTGGTTTTGTAGGGGAAAACATATGATTTTGTGCATGTAAATACAATATATACTGGAATCAAGTAGGAAATCATATATAGTAACATTATTCTAACCCAACTCTACCTCTGATCAGAGCAGCTGCTTGTTTATATTTTGGTCAAGAGAATTACCGACAGGAAGTGAAACTCGTAGTTTTGGCTGTGATGTTTTGTGTTGCCACGATCTGCCACCAGGGTGTAGCACCATTGCTATTGTTTTGGCGTCATCGACTCATTGCAAATAGCTGACTGGCGGCTAATTTTTCTGTAAACATTTCTTTTATCTTTCTATGGTAATTTTTCATTTAAATAATAAACAAATGTTTCTTAAAGGTAATACAGTCCTTACATAATGTAAGACATGTATCTGGTGTGGTTTACATATGGTGGGAAGAAGGTGCCTACTGTGAGATGTTGTGAGCTTCCCTCTGCCGTGAAGTCAATGTAAGCCATTATTTACGTCTTCGGCATATTTGCCGTAAGTTTGTGATAATAGATTGTGATAATTTGGCTTGTTTTTCAGTATTTTATTATTAGTAATACTATTAGTAACACAATTTTTGTGCTTAGTGGACTACTGCCTGTCCCAGACTCCCTAGCTAGGCACCTCAGCCTACGGCGCTCGGCCTCCCATCCGTAATACGGGTGCATTAGACGCAGAGTAATTTGTGATACGCTTAAAAAAAAAAGCGTGTCTTATATGCCGGCAAATACGGTAATTATGAAGTGTGAATACTATAAAACACTTTATGAGTACAATAGTTATATGTTATGCTTATAAAGGGTTATAATCTAAAATTTAACTAAGAAATTTGGAATTGTCCAAAATTCAGATATTTATGAGAAAACAATACTGTACTGTACACTGCTAATTTTAAAATAATCCAGACTCATTTTCTAGACTCATCCCTTCATACACTACAGTATATGGCAAACATCCTTCACCAGGGATTTGTGAGTTCTGAAGCCACCTAGAGTAAGGGAGGTGATTGTTCCAAGTGTTCTAAGTGGTGATGTGGCATGGATGATACAGTGAGAGAACAGACTATCTTTCCAAGGTTTTGACAAATACACTGCAGAACGGTTGAGCCATTTGACACACGCATGTGTGGACCCCATAAACAGTTGGCAGGCCTGTGGAACCTTGGAAAGGGGTTGCCAGTGACACCATTCACTGTGTTGGGTAGTTAGAATTCATTACATTTTGGCAAAATCTGGGAAGATGCTTCATTCACTAACTGCTTAGTGAAGGGTGTTGACCATTAATGTGATACATATATGATACTGTGCAGTTCCTAAGTACAGTGTTTGTATAATCAAGTTAGACTACAATTTTGCTCTAACTGTTGATATATAGTCTCATACTTTCAAAATATCCAGATGAGGGAGACAGTGAGATCGAGAAATTGATAAATGCTGCAGAAAGATTGGCTGCAGAGCGGGTAAAACTCCTGTCAGGCAGTCCTCCAGCAACAGATAAACTGAGCCATCAACCAGCTTGTACTGTGGGATGTAGACCTTTCAGTGGAGCTAATAGTGTATCTCAAAGACAGCACAATTCAAGCCATAAGATAGAAAGTAAAGGCACATATGAAGTGCAGATGCCATTTCAAAATAAAGCTAAGGTTATTGACTCATTGGACTTAACACAAAGTGATGATATTAACCTTGTTTCAAGAATGATTTCAACTCATCACAGTCATTCAAAAGAGAACTTATCCAAATTTAATGCATTAGAAGATAAACTTCAAAATTCATTTAAGTCAGAAGAAAGCCTCTCAAGTTCATTATGTGACTCAGTTTTATCTAAAACATCAATTTTATCTTCACAACCTAAATATTGTATCAAACCTAGAGAAGATACAAAATTAGAATGGAATAGTTTTAGCAACACACTCCAGGACCATGCAATTTGCAACATTCCAAGATTACCCCTGGAACATGCAGGTGCTCTAAGTGTCACTGATGAGAAAATCGTTGTGAGCAAAGATGTGAAGGAAGTGTGTAACTCCACTATCAAAGAGTCAGCGTCAGACAACTTCGAGATTCAGATAGTTCCACAACAAAAGACTTCAAGAGGAGGAAGTGAGGAAACTGAGCAAAATCTACCACAAGCTAGGTAAACATCTGATTGTATGCATGAATCTTGATTTTTATCTCTGACGGAAGGGAACATTGTTAAGTGCATGTCTAACTACACAAATATGTGAACCTTTGTTACAGGTAGTCTTGCAATATCTTAAGATTTTGCAATAAAAATTATGCAATTATTACTATATGCAAATTATTTCTTTATGAATGAAAGCTTGATCCCAAAATTCTATTTTCTAGCAGATGTCCTTTAGGCAGGTGGCTCTTGTCACTGCACATGCAAACTAGAGGGTTTGTTCCACCATGCTTTAATCTATGAGGCAGCTGAGGTTTACAGAAGATCCTAGTACAGTATTGTCCATTCCCTCCCACCACATCCATCATCTGAATATGAGTGGGAATAGATGCAAAAGTGGCCTCTTGAGGCAGAAACTCTTATAGTTTGTATCCACACATCCCCCTCCCCCCTACACACACAAAAGATGTGGGATGCCCTGGAATGTATAATCCCAAAACCCAGGTGGAGAACCTGATATCTGCTCCTGTGTGTAGAGAGTGGGATCACATTAGGAGAAATTTTTAATTCAGATGTGGGGTTCACAGTTTAGAACCCAACTTCTTCTCGCTAAAGAAACATTCTAACCCAACCCAACCAGTTACAGTGGTCCCTCGGTTAACGAGCACAATCCGTTCCAGCAGGTTGCTCGTTAACCGAAAAACTCGTTAACCGAAACCATTGTTTCAATGGGTTTTTGGGTAATTGGTTCCAGCTCACCGAAAATTGCCTAAATTCAACAAAAAAGGTAGAAAAGTACACTTACATTGAGGTGTGTATGTAGAAGGCGCCTGGATGATGATGATGATGGGAATTAGAATGGGGGTGGAGGAGAAGGGAGAAGAGAAGGCATTGGGGTGGAAGAGAAGTCGCCCCATGGCGCCATTTCACCCATAAAATTTTAGTTCTCATGGTGTAAATCAAGATTATTTTCTTTAAATCAACACTGCACTGCATTATATATTGTCAATATGTAAAATAAATTTCAAAATGACCAATAATTTGCTTGCAAACACAGAAAAAAAATGTTTAGTTGAAGAGAGTCTCAAGCAAGATGTTACCTCCACTGAAAAGACAGAGAGAGACTAATGCCTGTGTGGTGTGTTAACAGGCTGGATGGCGCGCATGAAACTAGTTTCCTTACCTTCAATTATGTTCAATAATTGTTAAAATGACTAAAAAATTTAATATTAAACTTTTAAAATTATTGAATAGTATAAACTTCTTGATATTTACTAAAATAGTAAGGAATTTAAGCCCTAAAACCGATTACTGTATTGGCGGACTAATACTACAGCTGGTGGACCGCCAAATGCAAGCGAAAACATGTTGAGGTCGGCTCTTAAAAAACTCGTTAATCGAGGGATTGCTCGTTAACCGAAGTTAAGAATCTTATGGAAGGTAAATCGTTAACCGAGGCGCTCGTTAACCGAGGGATCACTGTATAAGGTTCTCAAAAGAATTCTCCTGTGTTCAACATAAGAACTTAGGAGAATACATAGTTAACCTCAAAATGATATAATATTACGTACAAGCTCGCCTATTTATGTCAGTATTTAATATGTCATACAAAACAAATTGGTTGAAGCTATTTAGGTTGCTAGCAGATTATTGAATCCTTATAATGCAATGAAAACAAAAGGCAAAAGCATCATGCAAGCCTATAAACACTGAGAACTGCACGGATTAGCCCGAGACTTCATACCCGGTAAGTGCTCAAAGCAAAACAGTCCATGTAACAAAAAGTTGAGGAAAACTCGAGATACCTGCTGGAACTTGGTAAAGGGTGTACTATATGAGGCACATAGAACCCAAGTAGGACAAGTGCAGCAGCATCGTAAATGAAAAAAAAATGCAGTTAACGTTTGTGAACCTTCAAATTATCATAACTTGGGAACCAGTGAAGATATTGAAGATATTTAGTGGTTCTGCCTGCCTTGTCCTACCCTTTGGCTGAGAGTTAACCTCTTCACCACTAGATGGATCACTCCAGTTGTGACGCATCAGACACATTTTAGAAATAGCACTTTTAATCTTATCAACACTTCCATAATAGGACTGACAGTCTCTCCTGGACAGAGAATGACTTTTCCTATTAATTTCTGTAAAAATCTTGTTTTCAGGCATACTGGTGCTTGTCCTGCTTCATTTTTGTGCTCCCCATAAATATACAGTATATACCCGGTAGGATAAACTGTCTTACCTGTTGTGGGAAACCACAGTGTACAGTATTTATGAGATGTTAGGGTGAAACAAACAGTGAATTTAACCTCAGGAGATTCTAGTAATTTTGGCTTAGAAATTTATGCTTAAGCTTATGACATGTTTTGCTGAGCAGAACCCCAGTTCAATCCCAAAACTTCAAAGCCAATTGACAACAGAAAAGAATGAGATTGACCTGCAGTAAGTACCTTCTAGTTCGCCTACAATGAAACACTTAGTTAGAGATCTGTAATAAGGCATTGTTATTTGTAAGTTATATGACTTTAGTAGTAAGTGTAACATAGTGAATATGACAAACAACTATAAATTGTAAGATTATGAGCCAACCATTTTTCCACTTTAAGTACTGTACTGTACTATTTTCTAAATACTGTACAGACAAAGCCTGTGTCACTCGGGGTGGCAAATAAGTCTTGAACCTCTTCTGGTATTGTTGTACAGTACAGTACAATACAGTGCACCTGTACTGTATACTGTGTAGTTTTTAGTAAAATGATTAGGTGGGTAGTATCTCTCATATAATAGATAAAGGGGAATATTTGAAGCTCTGTGCTTATGATTCTGGCCACCCTACATTAAAGTGGGAAAAGCCTTGAATTTTATGTTAATGATAGAAATCATCCCAAGACATTAATTTAGACAATAATATTAATCAGATTCAACTGCCAACTGTTGCGACCCAAATGAGTAGCTGTTAGGAGGAAACTCTAACAGTGAGTACAGTATTTGGAATTCTTCCTCCAAGCCATTGGGTTGTGCAATAAATGCATTACAAAGACCATTATTTATTTATATTTTTTTAACAAATGGAAGTTGCCATATGTGGGTGTAGGAAGTAACAAGTTATCACATCTTCCATACATGTAGATGTGTGGAGAGAATAGATAAGACCAAATTGGTCAAGAGATACAAGAGTCTAAATGGGGAGGGGAGGGGAGGGGAGCCAGGGGCAGACCAAGAATGACATAAAGAGAGAGAGAGAAAGGTTATAAGAAATGACATAAGAATTAAGAACCTGACAAGAGAGACTGCAAGGGTCGTGCAACATGGAGAGCTACCATGAGGTAAAAGTGGCTAATCCACGCAAGCGTGGAAAATGGCAATAAACATTGATGATGATGATGATGACGGAGTCCTTTGGGGGGTTAAAAAATTTATGAACTTATTCTCAACCTCATTTTTTTATCTGATGTTGAATTTAGTTCATTAAAAATACAATTATTTCTGCCCCCTTTTGATGAATAATCATAAGTTTAATCAGTCAACTGCTGCATAGCCTTGTAGAGTAGTACACATTAAATGATCTTGTGACTTAGAAACTTTATAAGTCTTCTATATTTAAGTCTTCTGGTGGAGATGTAGTATTTTAGGTCTTTTTTTCAATTGTTGTTAAACAGACTTGTTACAACCAATATTTATTGACTGGTAAGGTCAGATCAGTTTACATGTACAGGGCAAATTTCTATGGCAATTACCTAGGTTAGTCCAAGATCATTGTGACCATCTTTGTAGACATAAAAGATATGGAGTTTGGGGGAAGTGTCTGTGATTATGTGCAGTGAGTAATTGCTTCGTTAGATTTATTTAACTGTGTTTCCTTTACAGGTATTTAGTGATGATATAATTTTGGATGCTTAAGTACTGAAATGTTTAGATAATTTTGTACCACAATTTTCAGAGCATTCATTAATGGAACCTGTGTACCTGAATGACTTAGACATTAAACTTAGGGTTCTTAATGTCTTTATCTGTGTCATTAAACAAATATATACCATACGTACTCATGACTATCATTGTTGTACTAGTATAATTATTATATCTCTACAGCTTCACACTGTCTATATCTGTTTAAGTGTAAGGTGAAGAGCAATCATTTACAGTACTGTACATCTTTTTTCTCCACATGCTACTGAAGCTGACCACAGGTAGTTTGGATTTTCATCCTATAAAATGCCTGAAATTAGATTTAAAATTATAGAAATGCTTAAAAACCAAACTGATTAAAATTGGTGCACATAAACCTCCATTTTCAATTTGATTAAGTTTTGCTATAATTTTTCCATATTAATACTCATGACGAAATGAACTGCTGGAGGAAATGAGGACTTTTTGACTGAATAATACTTTGATTTCTGATGTTGTTGCATGTAAGTATTGTATTGTAGTTATATTCCTGGGTGACCCGTGAATGATTGATAAACTAATGGAAAAAGTAGATATGTTCTCTAATACTTTACACATTTAAATATTGAACAGTTAAATACCCAGTAGTGAAGAGACAATATACTGTGCATATGTACAAATGCTGTGCATTTACATTATAAGAAATTCCCTGATGCTAAAATGTGACTAGAGGACCAAGAATTTAGTCCAAAGATGGAGGGTTGAGTGGTAACAGGTTAGGCAGATAGGGCAGGCAGCCTACTAGAGAGTGAGGAGACATCTAGTAATGGTGTACTGTGTAAAAAGGGGGGAGGGGGGGGAGAACACCGCAGTAGTGCTGGGGGAGGCTTTCACAGCTTTATTGGAAAAATAGGAAATGCCAGAGATGAAGTTGAGGATGTAGATTTGACTGACCTTCCTGAAATAAGAGGTGGTTGATGTCCGCTACTTTGACATCTTATCCACTGTTGCTGAGTCCCTTATCAAAGAAGGAAGTGACCTATGGGCTCCCACTGAGGTACAAATACAGTACAGTACTGTATTCATCTTGTATATTAATCCAGACATCTTTCTTATGAAGGTCACTAATACCATTTTATTTAGCTGCTTCTCTGATACAGGAAACTCACTCTTGAGAGAAATATCTCTTTGTTTCACTTAAGTCAGGTGTATAAGCTCCTTGGGATGTGATTCAGGGAGGTCATTTACTTGTTTCTTAGTCAGTCATCAAACCTAACTTTGCCAACCTTTTGTGCCAGCTAAGCTTTGTCTCTCACTTCGGCAGCACATGCTGTTGAGGGGATGGGAGGCTTGAATGAGGTCAGGAGTGGTGGTGGTGGTGGTTTTTGGTTTCTTAGCATTTCAGATAATGTATTTAATATTTTGATGTCCTTCGTAAATTAAGTTTACAGTATTCTGCATATTGCTGGCAATGCAAATTTGGTTGTTACAATTCTTGATGCAATTAATTGCCTTAAATGATTGAAAATTTGGGATTGATCATAAATCCCTTTTAATGATTGATGACAGGTGATTGTAGTTTATGACATGCAGTAGCATCTAACTAACTTAGCCCTCTTACACCTTGGAGATCAATCACCATTAATCAGATTGAGAAAATCCAACATAATTTTGTAGCCATAAAAGCTTTGGACTTAATCAAAAGGATGATTGGGAGGGTGGCACCAATATGAGTAAAGGTGGATGCAGCTCATACTACACCTACTGGTACACCCACGAACCCAACTTGAACTGTAAATGTCCCTCCATAAGAGAGGTTGGGGGTGCCAGTTTTAATGAAAGTCCCATGCTGCCAGATGAATGAGTGAGTCAGTGATGAAGTAACATGAATAGCTGCTGGTACAGGTAAAACTCTTTACAGTACGTATTAGTAAAGAAGCAGTAAATGTATTGTTTGAAATGAGTGTTTGCATATTTATTGCATTTCCACCTCATTAACAAATGGATGATTCAGAATTCTGAATCTTTATTGATTCCTCAGTGCTTTTCCTGTCCATCTTACTTAGCATTATGCAAAGTTGATTTTTTTTTGCTTAATTTTTTTTTAGATGCTTATTATGACACTGCTCATTGTTTTGACAGAGTTTGGGCAAGATATGATATTTTCTTACCTTAACAGATCAGTACTTAAGATTCACCCAACAAATTTGAATTTCATATCAATAAATGAAGACTTTCACTTAAGTAAATGATAAAATATATAAAGTTACACACAGTATCTGTTATTTTGGTACATACAGCAAGTTACAGTTATTAAAGATCTCCAAACCAACATTTCAGTTAAATAGTTTGGTTAACCAATTAGAATTTTGCAATCATTATTCATATAGTATATATGTAGTAAATACATTTACAGTACAGTACAGTATAGTACTCTATATGTAAATGATTTTAGTGCTAAATTCATTAGTTATGTTAAACCTATAGTATAGTTTAAATATTTTATTAATCGTATTTCACTTGTCTTCTTGGGCAGCGACGACTTGAGAGAAGTGTCAGTTGCTGTGCATGATGAGTGCAGTTCAATGCTGAGTCTGGCTCTTACCTCTACCAGCAGCCTCGGCCGCCTTACAAGGTACAATATAGTTTTTCACTATCTATACAGTAATATCTCCATTTTCCGGAATCCCCGTCAGCCGGAACTCTCCAATACTGTACAGTACCCGGAATTGAAATTGGCTCGGAATTTTTCCAGAAAATTTTCTCAATTTTGGGTCTGTAAACGAGTTTCCAAGGTTGATTCCGTTAAGGTTCTGATAAAATCTCTCCAAGTCTCTCTTTTCTGGACCTGGGAATAAATTTTCAGGGAGTTTGAAGAGATTGCATCATGCTCCAATTCATCCCTGTGTCAGGTGCGTGTGTGGCCTAGCTGCTTGGACCACTCCGTCATATTCTGCTTGGACCACTCCGTCATATTCTGCTGCCATTGTAGGAGGTTGTTACCTTATTACCTGCTGTTTTTACCTACATATTTGTTGAAATACTTAAAGGGTCTGAAATATCCAGAGTCCCATTTACAGAGAGGGTCAGCATGAATTAGTCTGTTACTGGGAGGGTTTATTGTACAGTTAACCCTCACTTTCAGCGGTTAGTGTAACCCGGAGGGTCCCGCGTAAAGTGAGAAGCTAAAAAGTGAATAACACAACTATGTTGTAGTAAAAATATTATCTTAACTTTATGATGGTATGCACACACAATTAATAATTAAGAGAAATATCAATAATATTAGGTTTTTTAACACTTACATTAGTAGAAAAAATGGCTGGGCACACGGGGATGGGCGGTTGGTTCCGAGGCAGAGGGCAGATTATTGGCCCTCACCTGTATCACTTGTATCAATTGTATCACTGTCCACCACAGAGGCTTGCAGGGCCTCTTTGTCAAACTCACCAAAGTCCATATAAGTCCATATCCTCACCATAATTATCACTATCACTGACTTGGGCCGGCTGTGGTGGGTGGCTGGTGAAGAACTGGTAATGTTTTGATGACTGGGCGACCTTGTGCGCACCATGTTCGCGCCGCTTACACAATATGGCGGATGGCGGGAGGTTTGGATCCAAAAATTGCGCGGCTCGCCAGTCGCTCTCCGCGTAAAGGGGTACACGCACCGCGGAATGTGAGCATCCTGGGTTCCGGCAGGGCACCGCGTAAACGTGGAAACGCGGAATGTGGGACCGCGTAAAGTGAGGGTTGACTGTATTTGTATGTACAGTAAACCCTCGCCAACCATGAGTATCCACTGTTTTTACTCTGTATACCATTTCATTCACTAAGGCATTTAATTTCAAGTATCCACGGATTAGTGTGGCGTCTGTATCCCTCTGTAAATGTGAGGAATGAATATAAATAATATCAATAAATAAAATAAATGAAAAGTGCATTGCCATTTGCCAATCGTTTCATTAAGGACACAGGAAATAGAAGCGCTCCCCCCTCCCACAATCATGGGCTAACTCCCGTTGAAGTAAGAAATGTTTATTCTCTTTTTTTTTTTCTTTTTTTTTTTTCACATTCTGTATGAACGATTGTGTGTACATGTAACAGTAAATTGCTTTTAATGAAGTTCAGTATGTACCATATATCTACCCAAAACTACAAGTTGAAAAAGAACAATAGCGCAGCTCACACCTTAGCCTGATAAGGAGATGCCGAGATCCCTGACACCACACCCCCTCCCTCTCCCCCTCCCATTATCAGATATTAACTCCTGTGGATGTAAGGAATGTTAATTTTCTTTTGGATAATCATGTTTTATTGTTTTGTTTTACACATTCTGTATGAACAATTGTGTGTGCATGTTACAATGTAAAAAAATCAAATTAAATTTCAAATATCTGCCTGAAAATACAAGTTGAAAAATAGCAATAACACAGCTTGGCATGCTAGGGGCATGTAGCTACAGGGACAGTCTAATTTGGAGACCTGCCAAGTTCACAGACACACACACACACACGTTCACTTCACATACATACACACACACCCATGCTCTTGATTTTTCTTATTTGATAGCAAGATGCGATCTCCACAGAGATGTAGAGTACTGTAAAATTTATTTTACTATTTAATTTATATGTAGCTATTTTAAATATATTTGAATCATATTTAACTAATTGTACGATACAGATATTGTTTAGTGAAAGAACAGGCAACTTAGCTAGGCTTTGACAAGTGTTATCCATGGCATGGAACCTAATCCCCCATTTCCCATAACCCTTTAGTCTTGCTAACCACAAGGTTTTTCATGAACCTAACTCCCACAGGCAGCGAGAGACTACTGTACTTTATTTCATGTGTATTTAGCAATATACTGTATAATTGTTTTTGTATGAAAAACTTAGCCCTAGTACCCCCAAAATTCCTGGCAAGTAATTCATTCCCCTCTTAAGGGAAAGTTAGTTATACAAATTGCAGTTTTGCATATCAGAAAGGTTTTCAGGAATGAAATCCTTGCAATGAGTGTGAACTACCTGTATTGTAATTTTCTTCTTGAAAATGTGATTTCTGGTTTATTGCTCATAAAATAAGTGTCTCTTAAAAGTTGCTTTAACTTATTAGGTGATTCCTCAGTCCTTAGACAAGGTCCTCCACCATTAACTCTGGTTAATTTGTTAATCCAGAGGATAGACTGATCACTCCTCCCTATTCCCTGTACCACCAGCCTCAGCTGTAGGGGAACATGATATATTGAGTGTCCCTGAAGATTGTAGATGCCATAAAAAACAATTGAGAAGATACTTAAATATTGATTTTTTTTTTTAAAGATTATTGCGGCAAGTCACAACACTGCAGTTAAGCACAGATACACCCCGTGTTGCAGAGAATGTGCTGGAAGAACTGATGGAGTTTGAGAATCAACACAGCAACTTGGAGGGTCAGTTAGGAACTGCTGCTGCACAACTACAAATGGCTGTAGCTCAGGTAAGAGCTTCTCTCTTTTATGAGTTACTGTACTTATACTTGAACTGTATTTTAGTTATCATTCTTATCAAACACATACTATATTTAAATTATGTTAAACCTTATTATGCAAAAACATAAACAGTATTGTACAATGCTTCCTTGTTAGTTTTGTGTAAGTTTCCTTGAAGAAAAATTAATAAACTAATAGTACTTCAAAGGTGACTTAAGAGCATGATAAATATATTCTTGAAAATTAAGGATTAATGCTAAAATTCCATTTTATGGTTGAGCAGGAACTTAGCAGTGTGAATATCAATGCAACACTAAACCACCAGTCTAGACCCAGAAGACTTGATATACAGTGAACCCTCGAAGATCCGGACTAAAAGGGGGGGGGGGACCACCTGTCCGGAAAAGCCGATTGTCCCAATTTTCCGGCAAATAATTTTTTTTTATTTTTTATTTTTTTATTATTATTTTTTTTTTTTATGGGGATTAGCCAACCCGGGCTAATATTCCCACAAACAACAATTGTCAACTCTGTTTGTTTCCCACCTCCTCGGGCACCTGTGTCCAAGCAACTGACGGGTCAAGCAGCGCCCATGGGCCTTATGGTAAGTGTTCTTTGCTCTGGTTTGGGAATGTTTCTTGGGGAAACTTCTAGGAGGCTTCTTAGTCCAGAACCCCCAAATATTTTGTCCGGATCTTCCGAAATCCGGATTACCCGGGTCCAGATCTTCGAGGGTTTACTGTAAATGGTTGGAAAAGATATTATGATTAGTCTTCATCCCCAATTGCAACTGTCTTCCTGAAATGGAGAGTATAGAAGAAAATATTTTTACTCTTGTAAATTAGAGGAAGAAGGCCTGAATGAACACATGATATTTTATGAGCTAATGTTCACCATTGCCTTGTCCTGTACACCCCCACCCAACCCCCAATGCAAAGACATTTGAAATAAATTGTTACGACCTCTAAGCTATATAATGTGGCATGTTAATGTCTCTGTGTCAAGGAGACAGTGAACAAGGGAGGGATAAATGTGGGATATGGCAGGGAGGCCAGCTCTGTCCCTCACACCTCCCACTAGTCTCATTTTCACTTATTTAGGCTGTAAGCTAACACTACTGACCATGGGAGATTGGTAAATACCCGTACAGCTGCATTTTAAAACGACGGTGATGCCAAAGTGCCGGCATGATGCTGTCCTGCCGTTTTAAAATGGCGGTGACACCTAATGGGCTAATTTATTCATAAGAAGCTACAGTATATATGGTGGTACGTATTGCTAATAATATTATCAATAATGTAACTGATTTGACAGGTGCAGGGCATAGAAATCCTTATAGGAGAACAACAGCAGGAAACTTTACAAATACAACAGAGTGCCTCCCAACTTTTAGGACAAGTTGAATCTGGACTAGAATCTAGTGGCTTGAGACAAATGGTGGCCATTACTTCCCCAAGAAGGTAAGGACTTACTGTTTGTGGAAAATTGCTGTTATTAATTGTTACATTTTTAAATCATGTGATTCAAAGAAATAACGAGATCTCCTCTTTTTACCTTATTATTCCCTTTGTCACATACTGGTACTTTGTGGGTCTTCACTAAATTATGTAAACCCTTCCAATTTTCTCTGGTACAGGTGGGTTCTTGCTATACACTATACAGCATTTCACATATATGTCACTAATAAATGTAGGAAGAAATTTTCATTATACAGTACCTGTACGTCAATTGTTTCACATATACAGTACATCATCTGCATCATTCACTGTTTTATACAAGATCTGTGTGTACCCAAATATGATGCAAAAGTAGTGTTAAAAGCACTTACTATAATGTAAAAAATAACCATAATAAGTAATAAAAGTGCCCGACAGGTGTTAAGTTTCTACCATGCAAAAATACTCCAGTCACCACTCACACAACTGAGTGCTAATGGTATTGTTATAGTTACGAAACCACAGAATTTGCAGAAGTCATTACAATGTGCTAGGTAAAAAATAACATCATCAGGAACGCATCTCTATACAGGGATATGAAATGAAACAAAATTCATTTCTCTAACACAGTTAGAGCAGATTTTGCGACTAAAAGTTTATACAGTATACTTTTTGCTGGCAGCCTCGTATTTATTCAAGACTTCTTCAGGTTATGAGATCCACTAATGCCCCACCCAACAATATGTGACCTGACATTGCATCAGAAGGTCAGTAATATGAGACCACTAATCCCCCACCCCACCTCCACCTGACATTGCATCAAGTCAGGTCAGTAACATTAGACCCACTAATCCCCCACAGCTCCGTGCGAGTGGAAAATGCCAGTCGTCACAGGCTCATTTATGAGGTGCCTCGCATGCCCACTACATATAGATTTTTATTTTTTTAAATATATTTATTAAACTATACTTTTAGATAAACTATTCAGGATTCTTCTAGTAAAGAAATGGAGTTTCTAACCTTAATTAGAACTGCTTTTACAGACTCTGCTAGTTTAGACTCTTGGAAAACTTTCTCTAACACCCAGAAATATTCTGGGGGATGTGGGCTAGCGTTTGTCTTTGCAAGGTGCATAGTTTAGATTCTCGGAAACTTTTCCCAGTAACCGGAAAAAAATCAGGGGATAAAGAATTTTTCCGGGTTTGAGAAAGTCTTCTGGATACCCGGATATCTCTCATCCCTAAAAGTGCTCTGTGCCAATTGTTCCAGCTAATGGGATATCACTGGATTTATTTGCGATATATCAATATTAATCAAACTTTATGTATGAGCCAATGAGCTGCAAAGGGGGTGGGGTTTCTACTGAAAGCTAAAAAACTAACTATAAATACACCCTATACTATAAATATAGTTTTACAAGACAACTAAACAAAATTGTGTATATCTTGTGATGTATTTGATTTTTCCTACCTCTATTCAATATAGGACAGATATTATATACTGTGCTGTAATTTGTTCTTGTATAAGATCACACAACCTTTATTAAACACTTGGGCAACTGATCATATGGCCTCAGTATTTTGTATAATTATTACCTATGCTAAATCCCACTTCTTTTCATATTTTGTATTTTTTGGGGGGTTACTTCTATGATGATTCATGAATGCAGGTCTTTCAACAATGTAGATTGGTTAGAGTATGTATGACATAAATTATATACAGTACATCAATACCTATACAGTGTTCATTTATTACAGACGGAGTACATCCCGTATGTTAGAGGATATTTCATCAGCTCTCACTGTACTACTGGGAGAGCTAAATAGGAAAACTTTGCGATCTCTCAAAGTGGAAGAGGAACGAAGACGTATTTCTGAGGAATTACAAACTGCAAGAGAAGCAGTATTAGAGAGAGAATCCAGGTCAGAAGTGTTAAGATATGTTCTCGTTATAATATGTAATACGAAACAGTTTAAAGGAGGAAACCTTGATAGTTTTTGCGATACAGTATCTCCATGAGGACTCCTCTAATTAGAATTGTATGACACTTGGGATTTTTTAAGGATAGTCCTTTTTTTCTGAGATAAAATTCTTCTTAGCTTAGATCCCTATAATTATTTTTCATTACAATTTACAATTACAATAATCCCCTCTAGTGTATTATTGTTTTTTTGATTACTTGCAATATCACAGGTAACTTATAAAGGGAAGATTTAATATGAAGGGAGGTGATAAATTTTTTGCCCACCCAACTCCCAATGTGAGATTGTAGGTTGTTAAAAATGTGAAGAGGTTGAATCATGCAGCTCATATTCATAGATGAGTTTTCAAGGATGAAAAGTAAATTACTTAAGGAGTTTGGTTAAGTACCCTGTATTGCTAGTTTTTGAAGTGCCCTCTTCTCTGGAAATTTAAAGCTTTACATTAATTCTCGTTCACTAGGAGAAAAGTTGTAAATACCAAGTACAAGGTATACTAATCCAAATGGATGGTGTATATTGCTGCTGGAGTATGTCAACCCCCTGGTGACGAGCTCAACAGATGGTGCTCCAGGTGGATGTCACAGGTCACTCCATCTCCCCTTGCTATAAAGTGGGATTTAATATAACGATCTTCCATTTTACCCTGCAGATTAAGGACTAGTGAACATGAAGTTTTAAGAGTGAAAGAGCGGAATAGAGCAGATATAACCTCACTGAGGCAGTGCTTGGCCCAGGCAGAAGAAAACCTCCGTGAAACACAGTAAAGTATCCCATTTCTTTTTGACACTAATACTGTAGTAATAAGAGGCATTAGAAAAAATTAACTGAAAAATCAGACACCAAAATCTGAGTTTAAATACTGTACACATGATAGAATAGACATTAGTGATGTGGGAAGCTTAACCCTCTGGTGCTGTTGACCCGTAAAAAAGGAGAAGAGGGCATAAGACCAGGTGGATGAATTACAGATCTAGAAATGCCTGCAAAAGAAACACAGGTATGTGACCATTTATCCGGTACGCTTGGATCTGGGGGTTGCCAGATAGGAGGTTTTTCTGGAATTTGTAGCACCAGACCTAAAATATAAACTAAACCATCTGTAACTGGTTGTGAAGATTCTGTTCAGATCACTAGATTCACCCCTAAAAGTCAGCTTTAACTGAACATAGTAGCATTAAAACTTAAAATTAGAGACATATAAACAGCAATAACAATAGCATATAAACAGTACAATAATAATGAAAAAAAATATATATATATACGTATATATAGAAGTTTATGTACACACTGCATCGCAGTTGCCCATGGTACTCGCCTTGGTAACACAACAGCATCCTTAGCAACAGTGCTCCGCCACAAACTCTGACCTCCCACACACCCTCCACATGCAAGGGTGGATCAGGGGAGAGGGGGGTTGTTTCCAGAACCCCCCCCCCCTCCCTTCATCAGAAAATTACAATACTTTTTCTTTAACCCTTAAGCCCCGGGTTAGGGTGTTGCTGGCAGTATCCCCCCACGGGGTTAAATCGTGAAAAAAATCGAAGTTTAAAAAAAAAAAAAAATGGCGGGAAAATAGGCGGACGTTCTGGAACGTCACCCGGGGCCTAAGGGTTAATGCACTATTGTACTTGGGCATTTTTGTATAGTAAAGAGTAATTACTATTGACCTCAGAATATCTCTTAATATCATGTGCACAAGGCTTCAAAATGACCTAAAAAAGCCCATTATATTGGTCATACTTCAGAAAATTTCTGTCGGGGGGCTTACAGCCCCCTAAAGGACTAAAGGACGAAAAAATTTATTTGCTATCTTGCAAGGATTCCAGCAATGTAAATTATATTCTGTTAAGTCTGTGACATTTTATAAAATAAAAACTTTAAGCTTAAAACTACCTTCACCCTGTTTTGGGAATGCTTCTGAGCCCAGAACCCCCAAGTTTTTTGTCCGAATCTTCAAGCGTTCACTGGAGGAAGCTTATGGAAGCAACAATACTGTACGAGCTTGTCATTCCTACTAAATATAAAAGTAACGTATCTTATACAGTATTGTGTTTTGTTTTATTTTGCATATATGATAACAATTAATAAAATAATTTTTCTTTAATTTATAGCTAAATTTTTGGGCACAGCAAAGGTAGCCACAGATTTGTTTTGCATAATTTAAGAGTTTAGACCTGATTTGCATTTAGGTGAAGTTCAACAGTTTCTGAGGATTACTTAATTATCATTAGATTTCTAATTATTATCGTTGAAACTCATGGATAGTTTGTTTTCATATTGATACATATAACATTTCAAGCTACAAAGTGTTGTCACTTCTACTTGTGACCATTGGCAGGCTTTACACTTCAAAACTATTATAAATTAGATTGGAATGGGAGAAGAGGTTTTTGAACCAGTATAAAAAATGTAGGTGAAGAGAAGATAAAACAAACAAAAAAGACATAAAGAGCTGTGTTTTATCAACAGATGTTGCACCAGTAATAAACAGTATCCAGTAGTATTTAGTTGATGATCCAAAGTTGTTTGTGTACTGATTTTTTTCTTGATTTCTGGTAATTATAAGCTACTGTAAAATGTATCTGAAGTGTTGGTGTAATTTACAGGTACTGTATTTGTAAAATTGGCTCAATTACCCGAAGTGATTCAGTTCCTACATTAACCATTTACAGGCTGGAGAAAATAAAGATCAGTGAGATATCAAAGAAAGAGGCAGTGGAAAATGCTGCTACAGTGATACAACTTCAACACAAACTGTCTGACTTACAGCGTGAGGCAGACTCCAGGTATGTTTAAGATTTTTTTGCTAAAATGAATTAACTTGAAGTAATTAATGCAAAACAAGGGGATACCTCTTCTCTGGATCATCAGGATTAGACACCTCCTCACTCCCACTATCTGTGGGCTTATCAGGGTCTGGACTACAATGAATAGGAAGCCTGAATAAAATATCGTAAATAGCCGGAGTCTTTTTCCTGATTAAAATATTGTAAATAGCCGGACTCTGGAGTGAGCATAAACTTGACATCTCCATGAAAATCTGGTGACTGACTTCTCCAGTACTCTGCCTGCACTTTGAAAAAATCTCAAGAGGCCTCAATATGACTAATTATATCCTTCTCAAACATTTTAAAACAACCCTGCACTCTGCAGAATCATTTCATTTATTTATGAGTATAACCTGGAGAGGGGGACATTGGTAGTCTCAGATATCATGGGTGTAACCACAAATGAGTGATTATTATATATATATAAAAGTTTTACTGTACTGTATTCTAATAAATTGGGTATTGGAACACTCGATTTGATCATGACTCTTGATGGATCTGGTAATGACATGAGATTCAGACTTGGCAACTCTCCGTCCCTCAGTCTTTGTTCAACCTGTATATGTTAAACACATGTTATCATGGACTGTGCTTTACCCTATATTGTTTGTCTCCTGAACATATTTTATAAGTTTATTTACATTTCTTATAGTTAGAAGTGTTTTGATTTAAAAAAAATATTTTATCATTAAAAATCTGTTAGAGCTACACTCCACTAATTTCATCATTTTCCCTCTTCACTGCTATGTTTTTTATCGCTTGGCAACTACTGTACACTAAAACATTAACAAGCATTGTTCCTCATTTCATGTTTTTATTCTATTAATGATTGATGTCAAACTAAATCAGTTATTATAAAAGAACACATTAAAACTTACAGTAATAAAAGAAATTGTAAAGAAAAATGTCCGTCATGTTGGTGTTTCAACCTACTACCTCCTTAATTCCCACTGAATCACCTGTTATAACACAACTTTTCAATTACGAGATATTCTTCGGGAACACGACTACTGTACCGTGTTATCGAAGAACTGCCTGTATTCACTAGTAATTCACAGAAAGCTTTATTTGTTGTTGTTTTATATTACATTATGCTGTTGTTGTTTTAATTCAAACTATTAGTTGGCATTTTAATCTTGTACAGATAGTTTTTATACAGACATCTCACAAATGTTAGAGAAAGACTACAGGCTCTGCTAACCCCTGGAGTTGTGCTAAACAAGAGCATTCTGTGACATAACATCTGCAGTTGGTTTAAATTGTTTTTGTTTTTTTAATTGAATTTGAATTAGGGTGTTCATGAAAATTCTGGTATGTTAAAGACCAGATAACAACAAGTTAACTGTTTATTACTTAATATATTGTGCTACTAATTGACTGACCCCACATTAAATACTGTAGATACTCGTAATAAATATGGATAGAGTTAGGAATAATTGCAGGAAAGATGTTGTGTGAATCTTAAAATAAAACGTGAAAAAATAAATACCGTAAGTCTATCAGTGTTACCAGATCACCATCTTATTATTACACCCTGCCATCCTTGCCTCTCCCTAGCATCAGTTGTTTGTCATGTAGGTTATAGATATAGAATATGATTTATGAAGCACGCACAATAAATGAAGGAAAGTCTTTAAGTAGTATATTTGGTGTTTTTATTCATATATTTGCGTTGTAATTATTATTTCAGAGTGAGCCAGTTGGAACACAGGTTACAAGACACTGCTAAAGAGAAGCAAACTCTAGAGTCAACTTTGGTTGAATTGAAAAACAATTTAAATCTTCGGACAAAACAAATTAATCTCATTGATGTAAGTAAAACAAGCTTTTGCAAGTAATATTGTTTTTTATGTTCCCACTGCATCATTCAGTTTTTGTAAGACTTAACAAATTTAGATGAAAACTAATTACAGTTACATCTCACTTTACTGGACTAATAATTATACAGTATAAAATGGCCTGGATCGTTCGAAAGTCCAGTAAAAAAAAGTATTTTCCTGAATAATATACTCCCCTCACCACCTCCCTGTACAATATAGCCTCTCTAATTTGCAGCATTAGAAACATATATACCTGTACAGTACTGCACTCTTGTACATACACAAATACCGGTACATTTACACACACACACACACACACACACACATATTATGCAGTACAGCATACACTATGCATCCACAAAAACTGTCTGTGTTTAGTCAGCTGGAACTAAGTAGAAAGTATTGTAGATAATTGACCTGTAGAAAATATATAAAACGTCTAACAAGACTTCCAGCCTTAAAGGGTAACAGCTGAACCATGTCCACATCATTTGAGGCTGATGGTACAATGAGGAGGGAAGGGTGATCAGTATATTCTGGTGGATTAACTGAATATGTTACCCCCTCATCTCCTTTATCCATTATTACAGTGCACAAAATCATGATTATTTATTAAGGTTTATGAATTTCCTTGATTTCCTATGAATTGGAATGGGGGGGGGGGGAGAGTTTAATTAAATATCTTAATCAATAGTGGACTTCATATTTAGATATGCATATGCACCAGAATTCAATTAGTCATTTAAAAACATACAGCTGCTCCTCGACTTACGACAGGGTTAGGGACCTAAATCCAGGTCGTAAGTCGAAAATGCTTAAATAATACATAGAAAATCTAAAATGGGTGTCTCTTTTTCTTCTCAGCACCACAAAATTCTCACTTTTAAGCTTGCCAGCCATTTTAAAGTGAATTACAAACGAAAATTTTGTCAGTACACAGCGCAATCACTAACATTTGGACTCGAAAATACGTAATTTGTAAAAATTTGGGTACAACTGAGGCGGTCGTATGTCCGGGTGGTCATAGGTCGAGTATGACTTAAGTCGAGGAGTTGCTGCAAATATACTTATCTCTCCTGTGTCACATTTTCTCCCTCTATTGCACTTGTCATCTCTTACTGTAGCTTAAATACCTCGGAGTAATTTGACAAAAACTCTTATATTTTTTAAAAGTGTTTGTGTTATAGTTTTGTCTGTAATTGATAAATAATTTTATGGAAAATCCCCAGGAAGAGAATACTTTGCTTATTGAAGGACTTAGATCTACCATAAAGCAGCAGCAGGAAGAGTTGGACCAATTACGACTTCAACTTGACTCTTCTCTTACACACAAGAAGAACTTATCCTACAGAGTAAATGAATTGTAAGTACCCTGTATTACTTTGAGTGGCATTATTTTCAAACTACCTCTGCCTTAATAAGATACTCAACACATGGTACTAGAAAGAAGTGCTCTCTCTCTCTCTCTCTCTCTCTCTCTCTCTCTCTCTCTCTCTCTCTCTCCTGTGGGGTCCTTTCAGTGAATGTTATTATTGTGTCACTGTTTATTATCAGTTATCCTAGTTAAGATATAGCATCTCTAAGTGTTCACAGGTAGAACCTCCCAGTACCTTGGATTCAAAGTCAAATACTGTACTGTACTCTATACAAGTACTTGGTTTACCTCAGTATTTCACATTGTGAGCACAACATTTTTTCCACTTAGTTCTGTGTGTGTGTGTTTAGGTGAAAATTATGGTAAATGAGCTGTGACCTGTTAAACTTAAGCTTCATGGCAGGTTTTTAATTACTGTACATTGCTATTATAAATGAAGACTCACTACATAATTTATCCAAATATTACAATTGAAATACAGTATTAAAAACAGAATCTATGGCCAATGCCTTTTGCAGGGCAACTTGTGAATCATAGCCATGAGTCCTGCTGGATTGAAATCCTGGGTTTAACCCTTAGCCATCATAAAGTGTGATGATTTCATGATTTGGTTATGCTTCCCCATCACAACCAAGTCCTGAAAGGGATCTCTAGAAGCAACTGTTCACCATTTAAAGAAGGAAGCAACAAGTCACAAACACCACATCATTAGACAATTAACATTCCTTGTTATTATGTGATTTTATATGGAGCAGTTTGCATTAACATGACAAACAAATACAGGATTTTTTTTTTACACAGCTCTCGCTACATCAACTCAGTTTCCCCACCCAAAATTCACCTAACATATCTATCATGAGGGGCACAGAAATGTCATACAATGAATTACAACCTAATCAACACTGAATCATGTAAAAAAACACCTATGGTACAGTACTATAATAGAATCTAACTTAATGTAATAGGCTGTATGGAGGGAAGAAGTGGACTTTACTTTGCAGATAACATTTAAGGGGATGTGCACTGCTGGTCGGGGCCCAGATACTCAAAAGTATTTACAATACAGGTACAGTATCCCTCGAGATATGAAAATTCGCTGATATGAATTTCCTAAATTGACACCACTATTTCATGTTACGAAAGCTTTCCCGCTTATGCGAAATTGGGTCCCGGAATAAATTCAAATTGCGTGCCCCGAGAGTCAGCTGAGGCGGCCACATCCCCTAGTTCTCTCCCTACCAGGCTGAGATAGGAGTTATTTATGTTGCCCTGATCCTGGCTCAATATTATTATGAAATAGGATTTCATGATCATTCGGTCATATCTCAGCATTCATTACTCTTTCTATCCTGTTAGTATTACTAATTTAAACTAGCTAATTTTTATTGACAGGGAAAGTGAATTGTCTACAGAACAAGAACAGCACCAAAAGTTAATAAAAGAAATATCGGCTTTAAAGGCGTCAATCAACAATCTGAAATTGGAACACAGCGAGAGAGAAAAAGACCTGCAAGATAAAGTTAGTAAATAATGGCATTCTTTGTAAACCACTTTATGATCTACTGGCTTTATTGATACATAAGTTCACCAGTAACACACTATCTCAACATATCAAAGCCATCACATTGTACTTCCTTGAGCACACTGTAGTTATCTTTCCACATGTTCATGGATCCATCGATTTCCAAAGGTAAAAGGGTCTCTGATTGTTGTGGATGTTACCATTTAAAACACAAAATACTTCTTAAAACGTTATGCTGGCTGACCATTGTCAGTCGTCAGCAGTCTCTGAAAATGACGATTCCTAATGAGCCACTCACCCCACACAGAATGATCTTGTACAGGCAGAGCATTAAATTACAACTGATTAACTGTATTGTTCCCATGGCTGGTTGTGGGAAGCAGTAAATTACCTGTTATATTTTATAACATTAAGATGTACACGTATTAGTTGGTAATGTTAAAGTGCTGTCAGTCACTTGTACTTAAGGTCAGATTTACAAACAACTGATCATTTGTTTATTTAAATTATTAGACATGTACCATAGGTTGTGTTCCCCCACTTAAACTATCCATAATACTTGTAAATTATAAAAGGGTGATTAATCATGAAATTCCTCTTTTGATTGAAGGTGAGTGGAGAGCCCAGCTTCTCACCTTCCCATCTGTAGTGGAGCCCTGCCGGCAGCTTATCTTGATCTAACATTTTCTTAGATTAGTAGAGAGAGAGAAAATATGTCATGATGACTGTTTAAAAGCTCATCAATCTTCCTGGTCTTGAGTTACAACATTATAATCAATCAGCAACCCTTTACCCCTCAGAAAATCAATGGATCTGGTTATGGTTGAATTAGATCTACATTATAGCATTATCACTGCAAGGGTGGATCCAGAATTTTATGAGGGAGGTTCCGATTTTGGGGGAACAGAAATACTGTACAGGGGGTCCTCGGGTTACGAACGGGTTCCGTTTCTGTGGACGTTCTTAAAGTCGGATTTGTACGTAAGTTGGAACACATGCTATGTGCATATTGTACTTACAGAACAATGTTTAAAACCCAACTACTGTATGACAAAAGAAGAAATAGAATGACAAAACACAGTAAATGAAAGTAAAAAATATGTTATCAGATAAATAAAATAACCTGTAAATTACAAGTTTAACCCCATTCATATTTGCGGGCGTTCATAAGTCGGACGTTCATTAGTCAGGGACCCCCTGTATAGTCAAAGGAAATAAGGTAACAGAAAAAGTCAAAATTTTGCCTAGGAAAAATTATTTTATTTCAACACCATTAACAAGTAAAGTAATAAAACCAAAAACAATTAAAGGCAGTTGTTAATTGTTGTACAATACTGTACAGTACATGACTTCCTCGGATTGACAACTCAGTACAGGTACATTATGAGGGTTTTCATGAATGCATCCCTTGCGTACATCGAGGGTTTTACTATAATAAAGAAGGGTGGACATCAAACAAACACCAGATCATGCGCATGATAGGAGAGCATTGAATCAAGTGGTTTATGGAGATATCACAGCAGTTAGAGTGAGTGAATGAAGGTACTGGTAAGTGAATGGAGAGTCTGTTTGTTCTTGATTATAAATACCCTTCAGGCTAGTAGAAAAAAAGTGTTGTAAGAATAAAAAGAAAAATACCTTTTCCAGATTGACACCAGTGCTGCAACACGATGTGAATTGGAAGGTCAAATAAGATCTTTAGACCTCACCATCTTACAGCTAAGGACTGAACTACAAATGGAAAAGCACAGATCTACAGCATTATCTGAAGAGACCGGCTGTTTGCAAAAAAAGGTTTGTAATACAAAATTAAGTACAGTATATCACGGCCTATAAGGCGGCGGGGTGCATAAGACGCCCCCCCCAAATTTCCATTTAAAAAGTAGCTTTTGAGCTCTATTTGCTGTATAAGACCAGTACCCCAAATGTGACACTTACCCACTGACTCAGTAGTCCTTTACCAACCATCCTTGATTTTTTAAAATAAGGCCAATTCACTTCAAGTAATGTCATCAAATTATACTCGCTGGTGTAGTGTAAACACTAGTGACGTCACTGAAGCGTGGTGGGAGTGTTCCCTCGTCTGGGTGGTGTGACTATTTATACAACATGTGGTTCAACAGCAACCACCGTATTCTAATTGTGATGTTTCATTAGGATTTGAGTGAAAAAGGTTACCAGTATGTACTTACTACATACATTTATTACACAAATATATATATATATATATATATATATATATATATATATATATATATATATATATATATATATATATATATATATATATATATATATATATATATATATATATATATATATATATATATATATATATATATATATATATATATATATATACTGAATATACTATGTACAAAAAATGAATGTTCAATGAATTATTTATGGTGCATTAGGGTACTAGCCACTTCTGATGGGCTATAAATAGCCTTCTTTATCTCCCCTACATCTCACCCTGAGCCAGACGGAAGGGTCTTGGTAAATAACATGTTTGCTTATTTTCCATTTACTTTAAATAGATTTACCGAATTATTTGTTTTATTTATTTATTTATAATATACTGTAATATATTAAACACACTGTAATTATTTTCTTTAATTTATAAACTGTTTTGCGACAAAGGAATGTTCTCCAGTAGTGTTTCATTAGGATTTGAGTGAAAAAATATTACGTACTTACACAATTGTTCCTCTTACTTTGACAACACAACATACATACAGTATATTATTTCTCAGTTTTGATCTTTTTTTTTAATTTTTGTATTTATTTATAGTTAGTTACTTAAAATAAGGCCAATTCACTTCAAGTAATGGCATCAAATATTACCAGCTGGTGTAGTGTAAACACTAGTGACGTCACTTGAGCGTCTGTAATTAACCGTCGATAGTTTCAAGAATTAATGCACTTTTCCTTTCTTGTCTCCTCACTGGCAAATGGGGGGGGCGTGGGGAGGGGTGTGTGATGATAGCTGTGTTTATTACAGGGGTATAAATCTCTTTTACGGTATGTTAGACAGGTTTATAATACATTTTTATTATTTTAATATACCGGTAATCTTAATTTGAATCCAGCTTGCCAAACGTAAGTTTCAGTATAAAATAATTAGTGGTAAGACCTTGTGAGTGGCTTACGATGTTTTCATCACCACTCTTGACACACTAAACCACAATATTTAAGAGGTAAGAATTTTAAACTTGGTGGTTTAGACGACCCCCTAACTTTGGGCAGATTTTTTTAATGTTCAAATTTCGTCTTATAGGCCGTGATATACGGTACAGTAAATTATTTTTTTTATCTATGCTTAGTAGATATCTTAAGATTATCTTAATAATTCCTAAAAACTATCGGTACTTAAGTTTAGGAATAAATATAGGAACTACATAATGGAATTGGTGATATAAGAGAAATAATTTTTGGAAGGACATGTAATTGACAGCACGCACCTGTATAGTATGAACAAAGTAGGCGCTGACTGCGACGGGGCTAAGTGTCATTTTCCCCAAAATTTAGTACTCCCCAACCTTTCCTCTATCTGCAGGAAAACAAACTGTCCCAGTAGCACAATATTTGTAAGGCTGAGAGCCATATTAGTGAAGGTAGATAAAAACGTCTCTACAGCACGTGATCTGCGCCTCGAGGCGGACAGAGGGGGAGAAGGGGACAACTGTGAATCATGGCAGTCTGGATGGAAGAGGAAGAAGCAATTTGGCAGTGTGTTGGAATAATAGGGTGCAAAGAATAAGAAGCAGATTTCAAAAGAAAGTGTGGAAGTGAATGTTAGACAGAGCTGACCAGAGTTTGCTCAGGTGGTGTGGAGAGAATACGAAAAGCAAGGTTGGTAAAAAGGAGTGTATAATTCAGTAAAGGAAGGTAGGAGAGAGAAAGAGAAGGGGGAAGGTAAGACTAAGGAGGAGATTGAGGAATGGGGTGAGGAAGGAACATGCGGTAAATTGGATGGACATCCAAGAGTTAGTGGTGTGTTTGTTCAAATGATTGGAAAACATTACATCAAGTACATATACAGTACATATATTCATTTTGAGGAGGATGGAGATGCTGCAGATGGCTGATGCTAGGTTGTGTGACATGACCAGTATTAACTAGTAAGATTTTTATGGACATTTTTGTGAAAGGGGGGAACACCATAACACTTTGTGAAGGAATGACAGCATGTGAAGGGAAAATCTGTTTCTCCTCTTATTTCCAGTTACCCGCATTATTGTTATTCTTTATTACAACAGGTAAAAGATCTCCAAGATCGAATATGGAGTCAGGTACAAAGACGACGGAACAATAGCAGTGACAGCAGTAACAACTTTAGCAGCACCAAAAGCAGTGACAGTCCTCGTAACCTCGGAGGATCAGCATGGGGGAAAGAGGTCACTGTAGAATATGGTAGCTGCCTCAGCCCGCTTCCCACACCTACAGGGACTCACCAGTATGATGAGCACGTCCAGGTCAGTTTACATAGAACTTTGGATACATTCACTTCAATGAGCTTTGTAAATAATACAACAACTTTACTAACACTTTCAGAAGTTTCTTTATTAGCCTTTGATGTTAATCATGAGCAGTGAATACTTTAATTATCAGGACTCTTTAGTTTTGTTTTTTAAGCTTGAACACTGATACAAAAGTTCCAACCAAATTTTTATGAAGATTTGTGAGCATATTAAGATGTTATAACCTTATGATCACTCTAAGTGGCAATTTTTGGGTCCCTAATAGCCTTGGTTAATGAGGACCCTCTGTACATCTTCTCAAAATTACCAGTTAAAAATAACCATAACATAAGATACAGCTCACAGGTGGGGTATGGTTGGAAATGTTCCCACTCAGCCTGGGAATTTCTTGGTACTCATTTGAAATAGGATTTATGGGAGAGTATTCGTAAAGTTGGAAATCCATAGCCCGAGTCATCCATACCCTGGGGATTGTCTGTACATATTGTCAAATCTGTTTACCAAGGCATCCTCTTGTCAATGACTGAAGATATTTAAAATGGGATGATTTGAACTGCTGCCTGTTATTTAACATGGGGAAAATACTCTGAGGCAAGGCATTCCCCATGTTAGTCTGGGGCACGATAATCCAACATCTTGGGAATTGTGAACTCAGAAAAACACTCATTACATGATCACTTTACCTAATCATCCTTTTACAGTACTTGACAGTTTTTCATTTTAAGGAAGCTACTTGGTTCTCAACATTTCAGTTGACAGATGTTTTACTGTAATGTACAAAGTTTTACAAAGTCAATGACCAAAATTTTAACATTTCTTCTAAACTGCCAACCAAAACAGTGGTATCTGCAAACAGCAACTGACTGACCTCCCACAGGCATCTTATGTTCCTTTTTCTCAAACTATTGACAATAAGATTGAAAGTTTGGGTGCAGGTTATTTTATCATGAATGGATCAAGTAAAGTATATTTCCTTATAGTGCATGATGAAAGAAGTAGGAGATGGTCAGGCCAGAGAAGAACAGCTTCACACACTTTTGCGGGAGAAGGACGCAGCTCTTCACAGCCTTCAGCAGGCACTCTCCACCAAGATCAATACAAAAAACCAAGGTAAACTAGCATACACATTACCCTCTTAACTATGATAAAATTAACATGAAAATCTGTCGAGTACCTTAATATGATTGAGATCAGTTTTTTTGCCAACCCTACTGATAGACTACAAATTCTAGTTTTCTCAGGGACTTATAACATCATAACAATCAAGTAAAAACTATTTAGTATCACCATGCCAACAGTTCAATTATGAAACAGCTAAGTACGCTACAGTACACTCCAGGACTTAAATCGTGGTTAGCCACACGGAACCTACACTAGTGACCTTCGTGTTTGTTTCTTTACAAGTACAGTATTTTAAAGTATTCTGTATTTTATTCCTCTACTAATTAAACTATATTGTAATCTTTTGTTTCTTTTATGACAAATATTATTCATTTACTGTACATTAAAATAAAGCATAATGATATCACAGATATATAAAAGGTATTAAACATTACAATTGTTTTCTAATTTTACAGAGCTAGAGATGCTCACCAGTAAAATATCTATATTAGAGGATCAGCTGGGGTCATTACTCTCCGGTCTTGAAGCAAGCGCTGCTATTGGAAACATAACAACAGAGGTTGGCCGCCTGCTGCAGGACAGAACTTGTCACCTCAACTCTCTTGATCACTCCTCACAGTGGCTCCAAGAGGAAATGTCCTCTCTAGCACTGGTTAGTGGTACCTGTATATGGTAATACAGTAGTAACTTTATCAGGGACAGTATATGAGCATATGGCCATCTTTTATCTAATTTCTTGTGTGCTTTCAAACAACGCATAAACTAATATCAGGGAACTGGTCCTAAAATTCCATATTATGATCCATTTGTTATCAAGCATATCAACAATTACTGATGATGTAGCTATCTTACAAACTTTACCTGGCCCCATCATTTCTGGCAGACAAGGGTTTTTAAATGATAGAGGTTACCATTAAAGGTCAGAAAGACTTCAGGGCCTAGAAAATGGCTCCAGAAATTATTGTTCACCCACTATCTTGGATTTGATCCTAAAAACGGGACTCCTGTCTAGTTGCCACAGGACTGCCTGTTCTTCCAAGTTTTGCCTCTTCTTTCTATACCACAAGGTGGGAAAACCACTTTTAATCATAGAAGGGATTTCAGGAAAAACTAACTGTCAATATCCTGTCTTGAGTATTCACTGTGAAAATAGCCGATTCCTTGAATGGGTGGGTGTTGCTGGTTCCCATTCAGCAAGTCAAATGTACCTTAGTTGACTGGTAACAAACAATAATCAATATCTGAAATGTCAGAAAATTAAACTTTAGCCATATTCTAACACTGAGGACTGAGTGACTCAGCCACAACACCTAAATCAGTGCTAAATTAGAGGCAAAACACTTACCTCCAATGTGTGCGGAGTGAATTAGGGGACCACCATTTCACTGATACGTTTGACCAAGACTGAAGGGGATTGAGGTGCAAGAGATTAGTATGGCTGATTCAGAGGAAAGGCAAGATAAGCCATTGCTCCTGTGATGTCATGTACTCATCCTACCTTCTCTCTTTCCTGGCTGAGTCGAAGAAGCATTTGTTTCTTACTATCACAGAGGTGCAACAGAGGAGGTTTATTAACCATAAGATTAGTCCCAGTTGCTAATGTAAGGGCTTCTGGGTCCTAGACAGCATATATTCCTACTGAAAGATGGTTGATCATACAGTACACAAAGGTATAAAAATGGCTTTTGGTGAAACAACTTTCTTTATTTTATTTTTTTCTCAAAATAAACCACTTATTGGTAGATGTTTTATATTTTTAATTACCCATATAGTTTGTGTTGTCGAAAATTACAGTACAAGTTCATCATTATTCTTTAAAATTATATTTGAATAAGTTTGAGTGCTCAAAGACAAGTCTGTACCTGTATAGATATTTTAATGAGAAAGATGATTTGTCCAAAGCTTAATGAAGTGATTGATAGAATATCAACATTTGTGTTCCAGGAGAATCAGACCCTGAATAATGAGCTACTTGAAGCTAAGAGGCATCACACAGAAGCATCAGTGGAATCCCAAGAATCTGCTCGTAGAGCAAGGCAAGAGGCTCGGGAAGAACGACTCTCCGCAGCACATCTCAGAGAGAAATGCCTAGAGTTACAGGTATATGCAGTACACTACTAATTTTAATGTGCCTAATGCAAATCATTTTTGCAAAGTTATTGTGCCATTCATCATTGAATGGCATCTTATATGCCATAAAATATGGTAGGTAAGAAACTACACTCTCAGGAACATGTATTGATATTAATTATGTTATAATAATCTTGTTGAAAGCTGATTCACTGAAAGTTATCTTCTTCAATAATGCATGCTGAGCTTACAGTGGGTTAGCACTGTAGTTTTAATGAACTTACCTCTTTCACAGGCAAAGTTGGATTCTGTAGAAATAACATTGGATCATGAACGCCAGGAGAGACGATTGAGTGAGACCGTGCATGGAGTCAAGGTTGGTTGGATTATTTTTAAAGGTTTCTACTGTAATTTTAAGATCTTGTGAATAAAAAATTATTTAATGTATCAGCTTCTAGTCAGCTACATTGTAGCACTTGAAAATTTAGACTAAATTTGACACTTTTATAAATTGTGGTATGAGCAGAGGCTTTTAAAGTACTACTGTAGATATTTTTGTATTATTAATTATTTACAGTATTAATGTATTCACTATACAGTACAGTACTGTACAATGCTGCACAGTACTCACGTATTCTACACAGATGAAAAGAAATGATATATCAAGATCGATATTGCACGGTGTATGTAAAGGATATGAAAGATAATGCTTGAATGCCTTTTTCATTCAGCACAGGGAGTTCAGATCACTGCTTGATAGTGCTGCAGCTCTCCAGCAGGCCCTGGATGCCCAAGAACAAAGTGGGAAAATGCTTGAAAATGAGAACAGCAAGACTTAGAAAAAAATGAAGCAAAGCGACATAATATTTTATTTATTGAATTATAGGTTATTATTAAATGAGAAGTCGCTTTATCATTTATTATTTTACTACTGTATACTACATAACATTTAAAATTAACAATACAGTGATACATGGAATTAACTGACACATGCACAATTTAACATCAAACTTTGGATTATCCAGTAATTATATTCCAATTTAATTAACACTGGAGTAAATAGAGTTAATTCAATGGTGAGGACATGATCTCGGCAGGACATGAAAAGTTTCACTACAGTGTTTTGGGGTTTACATATGTTCACCTGAGTGATACACATGTTTAGTGGAATTTTCTTATTAGCAGAGATAGCATCAAACCCCATGGGCATAGTTCTGATGATGAAGGATACAAAAACTAGAAGCTTGCAGTTATTCACAAATATAAATATATCCCCCATTGGATTAACTCCATGAGAAAGAATCCAGCAAAAGGAATCACTGTCTAATGTCCATTTTGATCATAACCGCATATCCCTATACAGAGCATCATCATGAATGTTTGACATTTCAACAATATGTTTCTCAGAGATGGAACATGAACATATAGTTTTGACATATGTGCCTAATAACTTTCAACAGAGGAAAAGGACTGACAAGATCCCTGTTTCTTCAGACAAGCAACCACAGATGTATTGTTAAAAAAAAAAAACACACACACAAAGAGTCTTCCCTCTAAAATGAAGTACGAAAAGAAGAACCAGAAGTTCCTACAATTAAATATGGAGGTGCTTTAAAAAAGGAGACCATGAACCCTTTCTCTCAGATCTATCAGAAGAAATGAATCTCCTAATCTAGATAAGATACATCTTCCTACACTGACTGACCATAATGTCCAAGAGACCATTGATGGCAGCCAGATATATTCCTCCACCATTTTAAGGCAAGTCTAACAGCAATTCTAAGATGCAAAAAGTAACTTATGTACAACCTGCTCACACTGTCAATGAGAGGCCATCCTCTAAGTAAAGAACACAGTTCATCAGAAATAGAAATGACATTCTCATTGGAACACATAGAGGAAGACACTTCATTATACTGTACAAAGAAATGGACATTCTCAGGGCAACACTTACTAATTCAGCCCTAAAATTCCACAGTAAACTTAATCACTGAAACCTATGACCACAAGAAAGCTTAAACCTTTTTATCACTAAGAAACTTAAATGGGCACCAAATTCCAAGAATGCCTGAAATTAGCCCATCATCTACATCAGTAATCTGTAACCTTTCACCAGTGGTGGACCAAATTATCATTAGGGTGGTCAGGGCATGGGGTGGGGCCAGAGTTGGAGCAATAACTGGAAAGTGGATGTATAGTACAGTGGAGAAGTAATGAAATGTTTGCAGAGATGAGAAAAATATTTGTTGTTGTTGTTGTTGTTTAATTAATAAAACTGACATGTAGCAACACATATGCTGTACTGTACTTTTATCATAGAATAACAATGTGATATATTATTGCTGTAATAATTACAGGTACAGTATATGCATATTGCAAAGTAAAAGTTTGGGAGTAGAAATGTCAGTCTTGCAGTTTGGCTGCCAAAGTAGTGATGTTTACATCCAAGAGTTTTCATAACCAAGGAAAGATATCAACAGTTAATGCTGAATGAAACTTTGACTTCATTTGTTCCATCCTCAAAAAGTTCTGTTCACGGGTACATATAGGTATTCCCAAAACCTGTATTCATGTCAGTGGAAAGTCTCTTTAAATCAGGTAAGGCTGAGACAAGAATTGCAAAATTTGATCATACCACTGACATCAAAGGGTTGAGCACAGCATTGGTTTGTAGTTTGGCCATTTTTAGATGCCGTATCTATTTCAACTTCACATAAGTTGGGCCATTGGTCTAGGTAGACAATACATAAGATCCCTCTCTTATGGTTCTAATCCAAAATTAACTGCATTCAGTTTGAGAATCAGGGCTTTAAAACTGGAAGCTTTCTTTCTGTGTAGAGGCGAAACACCTTAATTTCCCTGGAATAGGATTGTGACAATAAGCATTCTTTAAATAAAGAGACATTTACCACATTCTAGCTGGAAGGATCAATCTCACTTCAGGTGCAGTCATCCTAAACTTATCATCATGGAGATACAGTACTCAAATATATTTCATATCAACATTCAAGTCTGTGAAGCTTACCTCTCTCCCTGGCCGTAGGGACATGAAAATACAGTACTCGATTACAAAGGGGACTAGAAAATACCTGACTACAAAGGGACTACAGCTTATTTGTTTATCCATCATTTCAGAGACAAAACCCCTAAACAACTTTCAGTTCTATTAATCTGGAACTGAATGTCAAGACAGAAACCCTGGGATCATGATTCCTAAATTCCTGAAGTCATGAGAAGCGATCACCAACTGGTACACCCAACCTTAGGTCCACACTCTCAAACTTAGTTCCTTCTCTGCCTGTGTCTCCACCAAACTGAGGACAATCAAGCAGCGAGAGAGGCATAGGAAACAGACAGGTTAAAAATAAAAGCAGAAAATCACTCCAAGGAGTTAAAAAAAATGGTTACAAATCACAAATTACAGTGTCTTGCTAGGCCCGGGAATAAGCTAATTGATCAAAAGACTTAAAGATGAAGCAAACAAATGGGTTTGGCCAAGAATAACTCATGGATGTGTCTTCACATCAAAGAAAACCAACTTCCTCACACCAAGATCTTCACAAAAATTAAACACATTCACTAACAACACCTAATAGTAGTTTACATTAATTCACAGGCTTATCAGAACCTCTCTCTCTCACTGACCAGAACTAGTTCACATCCTAAATGCCCAAAACAACACACCACACTCACTGAACACCAGACCTGATTTGCACTAAGTACACTAAACAGTAGTTCATGTGAAATGAAGTTTTTAATTAGAACTCCAGTAGTAATTGTAGTCCAATAAAAAAAAATTATTTTGTAGAACAGTCTGATATGAACCATAATATTTACTGCCTTCAGTTTAAGTGAATTAATACAGTATATATTTCTAAATGACTTGTAATCCTCAAAAATTTTGCTTTGAGAAATATTAATCTGAAAAAATTTTTTATACCAAAGCATTATTATGAAAACAATACAATCTGTGAAGACTTAAGTGCAGACAAACAATTCACGTATAAACGAAGTAAAATTTATATTTGTGTAATTTTTTAATCATCTCTACTTTTGTATGTTGATAAAAAACACTATAATAAAGGATTGATATTAGATGTCTTTACTTTTCTTAACCTGTGACTACTGGATTGAATATATGTTTCTTAACACAATAAAGACTGTTTTAGTTGCTCAATTGGCTCATACTGTACATTTTTTGATCCAATTGGTCTCCTCCATTCTCTCCACATGTCTACACCATCTCAGCCCACCTCTATACAAAACCTTGTAAATACTCTCAATACCCAGCTGCCCTCTTAGCTCTAAACAGGGTTTCCCATCTTTCAATGTCACAATGAACATCTATTTCACCATTCTCATTTCAATTTGCTCAAATGTACATATGTCATCCTCTTTACTCCCCATGCTTCACTGCCATATAATATCACGCTCCTCATACCAGTAACATACATCTTTATATGAAATATTAAATGATGTAAGGGAAAATATGCCAAAGGTTAGAGTAAGCAATCTCCAGACGACCACAAAATGAACACACTGAAGGAACCCAAGGTGAATACACAGACGGTTCAGAATTTTGGTACTGTACAATGGCAGGAAGAGCATCTGAGATTGTAAAGACTTGAAGTGCTTAGTTATGAGGCTGTAAACCAGGATACAGCAAAGATTTTAAAAGCATTTTTTTCCTCAATGATGGAAAGGGAGGATGCAAAAATAACCTGCCTAGTTTTGAGGATAAGGCAAATTGATACAGCACTGAGGTACAGTATATAGTCATCAGAAGTATTTAAAAATCAAATTGACTGAACTCAAGGTTCATAAATGTTCAAACCCTGATACCTGTGGTGTGCATCTTGGAGTGTTAAGGAAATTGAGGAACCGATTTTCAGAACCTCTTAATATCTGGTTCTGCAGGAGAAGGAACTAACAAAGGATCTCTAGTGACCTGAAACTAGTACAGTACTGTATATAGTGAGTCACATGTTGAAAATGAAAGATATCCATTGCACATAAATTTTAAGGCTAGGGAGCTGGACCTTTATACTATGTAAAGTGCCAGAGAATATTATACAGGCATGCAATACCATAATGAACCATCTGACAGAACAAACTTGTAATGGAATACTATCATGGGTTTATGCCCAATAAACCAAGGTTGAGACTACTCTTATTAATGTCATACGCAGACAGAAATTGAGTGAAAAAATCAACTACAGTATATTGTTCAGAGTGAGACACCTAAGGGACAACTAACAGGCACCATAAGTTATGAGTCACACAGAAAGAAGAGAGGAAAAGAGGAAGAAATTCAGTGACATCGTTAGTAGTGACTATGATTCACTTACGTAATATAGTGGTGACCGTGATTCACCAACCATAGTGGTGACCATGATTCACTTACGTAATATAGTGGTGACCGTGATTCACCAACCATAGTGGTGACCATGATTCACTTACGTAATATAGTGGTGACCGTGATTCACCAACCATAGTGGTGACCATGATTCACTTACGTAATATAGTGGTGACCGTGATTCACCAACCATAGTGGTGACCATGATTCACTTACGTAATATAGTGGTGACCGTGATTCACCAACCATAGTGGTGACCATGATTCACTTACGTAATATAGTGGTGACCGTGATTCACCAACCATAGTGGTGACCATGATTCACTTACGTAATATAGTGGTGACCGTGATTCACCAACCATAGTGGTGACCATGATTCACTTACGTAATATAGTGGTGACCGTGATTCACCAACCATAGTGGTGACCATGATTCACTTACGTAATATAGTGGTGACCGTGATTCACTTACAATAGTGGTGACCATGATTCACCAACCATAGTGGTGACCATGATTCACCAACCATAGTGGTGACCGTGATTCACCAACCATAGTGGTGACCATGATTCACTTACCATAGTGGCAACCATGATTCACTTACCATAGTGGTGACCGTGATTCACCAACCATAGTGGTGACCGTGATTCACCAACCACAGTGGTGACCGTGATTCACCAACCACAGTGGTGACCGTGATTCACCAACCACAGTGGTGACCGTGATTCACCTACCATAGTGCACTGTGATTCACTCAAACCATGGGGTGGTGACCGCGGACTCACCTACCATAGTGATGACCGTGATCTCCAACCATAGTGGTGGACCGTGATTCACCAACCATAGTGGTGACTGTGATTCACCAAATCCATGGTGATTGTAATTCACCAACCATAGTGGTGTGACCGTGATTCACCTTACCATAGCCAGACCTGATTCTCCAACACAGTGGTGACCGTGATTCACCAACCATAGTGGTGACCGTGATTCAACCATAGTGGTGACCGTGGATTCACCAACCATAGTGGTAGTGACCGTGATTCACCAACCATAGTAGTGACTGATTCACCAACCATAGTAGTGACCGTGATTCACCAACCAGTGGTGACCGTGATTCACCTACCATAGTGGTGACCGTGATTCACCTACCATAGTGGTGACCGTGATTCACCTACCATAGTGGTGTACGTGATTCACCTACCATAGTGGTGAACGTGATTCACCTACCATAGTGGTGACCATGATTCACTTACCATAGTGGTGACCATAATTCACTTACCATAGTGGTGACCATGATTCACCAACCATAGTGGTGACCGTGATTCACCAACCACAGTGGTGACCGTGATTCACCAACCATAGTGGTGACCGTGATTCACCTACCATAGTGGTGACCGTGATTCACCAACCATAGTGGTGAACGTGATTCACCTACCATAGTGGTGAACGTGATTCACCTACCATAGTGGTGAACGTGATTCACCTACCATAGTGGTGAACGTGATTCACCAACCATAGTGGTGACCGTGATTCACCGACCATAGTGGTGACCGTGATTCACCTACCATAGTAGTGACCGTGATTCACCTACCATAGTGGTGACCGTGATTCACCTACCATAGTGGTGACCGTGATTCACCTACCATAGTGGTGACCGTGATTCACCAACCATAGTGGTGACCATGATTCACCAACCATAGTGGTGACCGTGATTCACCAACCACAGTGGTGACCGTGATTCACCAACCATAGTGGTGAACGTGATTCACCTACCATAGTGGTGAACGTGATTCACCTACCATAGTGGTGACCGTGATTCACCAACCATAGTGGTGACCGTGATTCACCAACCATAGTGGTGTTTATAGGCTTCTATTAAGTCTCCTCTTGCCCTTCTATAGTATAAGCTAGGCAACTGCAGACGTCTCCACAATATTATTACTGTATGTAGAGGTTGATGTTATTGATGTTATCGTGTATTACTGCACTTCAATAACCAAGGTCTTGATGTTGAGGTTATAATGAATTACTACACTTCAATATTCAAGGTATTTAAACTCGTTCTAGATTAGTAAATACACTAGTCATCAACAATTAAGAAAGAAATATCTGCCTGGGTATGTAGAGCAACACCAGGCGAAGGTGAGTCATAATACCAAGACTCACTACAGTAGGTGTACATCAGTAAGAAGCGAACTACCACTAGTATTCATTATGTCATGAAGATAATCCTTGTGAGTTATAAGAAGTCCTGTGTTTATATTGTCAGTGTCTTGGATGTTAAATAGTACAAATAAAACATATCTAGTTATGGTTGAAGTCTTGGTCAAAACTTTAAGATGGATAATTTGGATCTTCTTTGCACTCGAAGCATAAAGTGAAATACAGTCAGGTGTGTTCTTGTGTATCTTGTGAACTTTAGCTTAAGTCAGTCCGATGCATTTTAACATTAGAATTAAAGATGAGAAAAACTTTACATACGGCGCGAACCATTGAACATTTGGATTCTGGCCAGACCAATTCTCTCAGAGAAAATGGGGTCTCCATCTTAATCCCAGCTTATCCTAATTCACAGTGAAAACTTGAAGGTCCTTGAAAGCTGCCTACAACTTAAGGCAGATTATTTTCATCAAATTTTCCTTTCGCTTTGTAATAAATTAAACACAAGCGTATGTTTCTTGTGAATTATTTTGTAGTCAATTTGTTTTGGGAAGTTTCATGATGTTCGTTTATTACAACGTACTTATGTGTGTGTGTGTGTGTGTGTGTGCGAATTCACGTATTTAGCATGTGTCCACTGTCCACGAATGGTGTGTGGTGCAAATGCGTGCTTGCTTTGTGTGTGGTGTGTGAGTGTTTGTATGAATTGCATCTGATGTCTATTGTACGGTTTTTAAGTACTATAGTGTTAATAGTTAGTAGTAAGAATTTTAATTAATAGCAGTAGGAATTGCAGTTAATAGTGGTAGGAGTTGTAGTTAATAGTAGTAGTAGTAGTAGACCAAAAGTATGTAACGGTAAAGGTAAACGAATGGGTCAGGCAAATCCAAGCTCTGTCGGATATTTCTAAAACAGAACCACATGCGGCTTTTGCGGCATTCACCCATGGAGTCAAGCA